GGGTTCACTATCATGAAGACGTTAAAAACTGGTGCCGAAAATGCGACATCTGTGCGACCAGTAAAGGCCCTAAACTAAGATCTCGGGGGCAAGAAAAAGTAGAACGTCGGTCTCCCATTTGAAAGAATAGCGATAGATGTTGCCGGACCGTTCCCTGAGTCAGGGCGTGGTAACAAATACATTTTGGTTATCATGGATTACTTCAGTAAATGGCCAGAAGTTTTCGCTATTCCCAATCAAGAAGCCATCACTATTGCCCAGGTACTAGTGGACGACGTTTTCAGTCCTCATGATGGTGTGCCACTAGGAGATTCCATTTGCTATCGAGATCACGAAATCGAATCGCTTCCGTACTCGATACCAAATACGATATCGAGGAATCTGGAATTTCCATTCGAAATCGTTTTCACCAATGCATAGGTCCGTATCAAAAATGCGCATTTAGACCAGACACGTGTGCAGCCAAACTTAAAAAAAATAAATATCGTCACTTGATGCAGTTTGTTGTTACTAGAAGTTGGATTGTTTTTGTTTTTTTAATGCAAATTTTTTTGTTTTTTTTTCTATTTTACTTCAAATTTGCACTGGCGTCGTATTTATTACCTACCTCTATCTCTGGCTATTGTGGCAACCACAAATAATAGAGTAGGCACCTATTTAGAATATTCAATACCACTCCATATGTTTAGTTTCAAATTGTTCATTGAAATTCACCATTAAAAATATAGATTATGTTTTTATAGGTCAAACTGAAAACTGCTTCCAATATCATTCACAAGCGTCTACAGGAAATAGACGATTGATTGCTAGAAATGTAAGTCCTTTTCTGGCTGAAGGTATGTAGTACCAAAAGTCTATCCCTAATTTTAATAAAATCTTGGCAACGCTGAGGTTGTATGCCATAGGATCATACCAGCGAGATTCAGGACTTTCCATATGGAAAAATAATTTCAAGTTTCAACAAGTGAAAGTAGAGAGAAAAAACACAAAACATATGTCAATATTGTCGATTTTATGTCGAAAGCGTGCTGTCCACCAGCTTAGAGCTGGCGAGTAATCCGATATCGCTCTATTCGAAGCGACCGTTTCATTTCTCGAATGGTAATCGCAATTTTCACCGGAAGCGACTGATCCGATCCTGCCATCTTTTAGAAAATTTGTGAGATCATGGACATTCGTAAGACAAGGATAACACCTCTACATCCACAGTCTGATGGCATGGTAGAACGATTTAATAAGTCCATAGAGAAACACCTGACAAACGTGGTCGCAAAGAACCAGCGAGATTGGGACAAACACTTGCCTCTATTTTTAATGGCTCACAGAGCAGTTGTCCACGAGTCAACAGGCGAAAGTCCAGCTAGAATCGTTTTTGGAAGGGAACTCGGGCTACCTTGCGATCTGATGTTTGGAATACCTGAAAAAGAACGAAAACAAATTCGAGATTATGCCGACGAAGTAAGGGCACGACTTAGCTCGGGAGCATATTCAGCTGGACCTGGCCAGTGACCGAATGAAGACCAGATACGAGTACGACTTGAAAGCCAATTCAGCCGGATTTCAAAAAGGTCATTCAGTGTGGCTGTTATAATCCAGCAAGAAAGAAAGGAGTGTCGCCGAAATTGTCTTCAGCATGGAAAGGACCCTACAGAATAATCAAGAGGATTAATGATTTGGTTTATCGAGTTCAGCGCAACACAAGGAGTAAGATGAAAGTTGTACATTTGGACAGACTGACGAAATATCATGGGCGCGGAGTTGATCGGGACGATCAACCTTATGAGAGGAGGGCAGTGTCTCGAAAACCTGGCGGAAACGCCAGGGTGTATAGAATTGGACAGCTGATTCTAGATTTCACAGTGCTATTCGTGAAAAAAGGCTATCGCGCCTATTCTGAATTTTACAAGAATGGATTACGAAACTATAAAGGCCGGTATTAGATAGTAGTTTTTTTCAAGAGTTGTAAGGAGTTAGGTTGTTTGAGTTAATTATTGAAGTAATTAGTGTCAGAGTATATACAGTGACCGCCAAAAAGTTTGCAACAAATGGGAAAATATTTTATTAATAAGATATCAAAAAAAACGTTAGGTGGGATCGATTCAGCATACCCATCAACAAAAAAAATCAATGTCACAGATGTCATGTGACTACAGTCATGGCGGCAAATTTAAAAAGTTCGCCTCAAATATGTAAAAAGTGGGGTAAGATGACCAGAAATCCAAAAATTGTAGAGAGAAAAGTGGTTCAGAATTCGATTTTACGTCTATGTGTCAACTTTTAATAGGGTACTAGGATTTTTTTGGCCTGTTCTCTGGTAATTTGAAAAATATCAAACATTTCCGCCTGGTTCACATAAATCAAAGTAAAACTAACAAAAAAAAATCCAGTGAGGTAATTCTACTTAATTGTCCCGCGACAAATTGTAAAAAACCAAAAATTAATTTTCAGACCACTCCGATCTTGTTGCAATGATCTACAGAAAACAAAAATTTGGAATAACAAATTTAGAATTATCATGAAATATTTCTAAATAACCCAATACCTCTTTTCTAAATTTAATCAAGCCAATATTTTTGCGAAATGTTTTCGATATTTTTCAAACTACCAGAAAACAGGCCAAAAAATTGATATTTATTAAAAATCCTTGTACCTTTTTAAAAATTGACACATGGACGTAAAATCGGATCCTGAACCACTTTTCTCTGTATAATTTTTCGATTTCTGGTCGTCTAACCCCACTTTCAACATATTTAAGGCGAAGTTTTTAAATTTGCCGCCATGACTGTGGTCGCATGACATCTGCCACAGGGATTTTTTTTGTTGATGGGTATGCTGAATTGATCCCACATAACATTTTTCTTGATATCTCAATAATAAAATATTTTCCCATTTGTTGCGAACTTTTTGGTAGTAACGTGAAATAAATTATTGTTGTGTTAATTGGACTTTGATTTTTGGAATAAACGGACCCAAGATTTCTGTCACGCATTCCAGAGCCGTGACAATGAATTAAAATATCCTAGCTCAGCTGCCTAATATAGCTATATGGGCTATATGGGAATATTTAACTTCACTGGATACTATTATTGTAACTGTATCTACATTATGTTCAAAAATTATGTTAATATATTTTTACAACATTAACATGTTCGTTATTTTGAGTTCTTTTATCAAGCCAATGTAGAAAAAAATATTGAGGAGAAGCCTACTTTCCGAGAAATTCATCGCGATCGTTCGTTGTGAGACACCCTGATGCATATGAGTACTAAATAATTCAACATTTCAGCCTAAAATCCTAAGTAGGTAATTCTAGTAAGGTGCTGAAAGTTTGAATCAATACTGAAAATTTTATAATTTCGCCTGGTGAAAATATTTACCAACTCGGGAGGTGGTGTGCTAGCACTGTAAGGGGATCGCTCGGTTGGTTGCTAGTGCCCGTTGGCGTATTTACGTTCTATGCCATTATACAGATGGATGCCATTCTATAACGTAGTATGATTTGTATCTGTGAAACGCGCGTATGTTTACTCCAAATCATACCGCGATACAGATGGACGTTAGTCTATAACATAGTAGGATATGAAGTTACAATACGCGCCTATTTCTACTCCAAATCATTTCACGATACAAAATTAATATTTACCCAATCAATTAAAGTATTTTATTTTCCATTCGCTATTTTTAAACTCACAAGGTGACATTGCAATGTTTCAGAAAACAAAACTTACAGCCGTATGCAACATCCTCTTTTAACTAAGAAGCGCTTATTGATACTTGTCACTTACATTTTCTAAGTATGTGATACAAATTTAAAAAATTCAAAGTCGCTTTCAAAGTTAAAAGAGGATGTTGCATACGGCTGTTTAACTTTATAGGTACCATAAAATAATATACATAGTAGGTAATGAGATTTTTGATTACTTCGATTCAATCCAATATTCGCTTCCAGATTTCTCAAACACTTTGTTTAACAATGCCGCCTTCGAATTTTGATGGCCTACCAGCCTGAATTCTTTTTAAGCCTGCAATTAGCCCTGCTCAATTTTGGCATCACATCCTTTGTTCCCCTTTCCAGAGGGACAATTTTTAAATTCTGCTTCATTGTGATGACACTAACACTCTCTTGTAATCAAACTTTTCAGTGATCGGTATGGGTATATCAAATAATTCAGTTTGTTGTGGTGCTAACGCCAAAATTGCGAATCCACTATTTGTCTGATCTTTATGATGATCCTTGCTTTTTGTAATAAGACTGTGGTCATTGCAACTAACTTAATTATAACTTTCAATTACATCCTCTTTGTGGATAATATCCTTTAGGCATTCAGGTTTGCTTCCATCTCAAATGGCGATTTCAACCATGTTTATATTGATACAAGAACTATTGCAATAAGTAACTATAAATGCAGCAAACCAGAATGCACAGGGCTGGCCTAACAACTGCCGTCAATTTTTGTTCACGTTCTTAGAAAATGGAGTGGCGGCTTTCTGTATTCCATTGTATACTCTTTACTTGTTGCGAAAACTCTGTAGCGCGGTATGATTTGGAGTAGAAATATTGCGTATTGTAACTTCATATCCTACTATGTTATAGAGTGGTGTCCATTTGTATGGCGGTATGATTTGGAGTAAACATACGCGCGCTTCACAGATACAAATCATACTACGTTATAGAATGGCATCCATCTGTATAATGGTATAGAACGTAAATACGCTGCCCGTTGTATGCAACGGACAGTTTTAAGAGAAACATAAAACATAAAAACGAAAAGGAGGAAGCACGCACTAAATTTACCTCCCGGTAAGAAGGTTCTTTAACCGTAACGGATCCAGTATTATAGGTTCTTCCACTGGGTAAAATTTGAACTTTATAATAACAAATAGATTAGAGTGTTTTTCCAATTCGATCTTTACTTGCTTGTAACTGCAAAATTACGAAAGGTGGAATATGCTAATTCTTAGTTAGTGTTTTTTTTTTTAATGTCTATTTCTTTCTTTAGGTCTTTATAAGTGAAGAAGATACAAAAGTGTTTCCTGGCACTGTAGGCGCAAATCCAGATGTGGAAAGAGTCCGCAGAGCCTTCCAAAACGACCTAGAGAACATTCCTGCCTTTCTATTCATTAGTTTTGCTTATCTCTTCGTTGGAGTGCCTAACTGGGTTGTTCACTTCATCTTTTACCTATTCCTTATAGCCAGGACCCTGCATTCTTTCGTTTATGCAGTTTATGTAATACCCCAACCAGCTAGGGCTATTTGCTTTATTGTAGGATTCTTTATTATAGGGTACTTGAGTGGCCATGTGTTGGTTTATGGGGTTTACTCTGGTTATTTAGGAAAATAATTATCTTATAATTTAATTTTTTTTTAACGTCAATGATACAACTTAGCACTAAAAAAAATGGTTTACAATGAAAGTATAAGCATAGGTACTGAAAGTTCCACATCAATTTTGCTTACCTAATTTATATTTAGCCTGTCACTTAACCCCCTAGCCGGGGCTTGTAAGGTAACTTGTATAAGTCGTATAATTTAAAATCGAGAAAAAAGTCGAGTGATACATATGGTAGGGCATAGATACTAGATTGAGAATTTTGCGGCCTTAAAAATGATGTAGGTATCACTTTGACTCCATTTCCAATTTAAATGTTACTGGTGATACACACTGCAGCTACGCAGTTAAAGAGAGTTGTAATGTCTCTAGGTTGCGCTCTTTTTGTTGGACTACCTTATATTATAACATGTGTAAGTACCTATGTAGGAAATACGTATATAGTAACATAGCAGAAATTATGCCTCAATAGTGTTAAACTGTATTGGAAATTACAATAATAAAGGATACTGTTTTTTTATAATTGAAAGTTGTTTTGTTTTTTTGCCACTCAGTAACACAAACTGATCTATTTAGATAGGTACTCAAACAAAGGCTAGTGATGGAATAGCTTTTACTAAGGTGACAGTGCTGGTTTCATGGTTCGATTACTCAATTTTGACTGTGGATATTGTTGATGATAGCCACAATCAAAATTGTTGACCAAAAACCTATAATAGTTTTATTGTACTTATCCAAAAAACCTCAACACGTAGGAACAGTAGGTATATGAGCTTTAACTGGATCTAGTGAATCTAAACATAAAGCTTTGGTGGTTATCGTTTACAAAACAATTTATTTTTCAAATTGATTATATCAAATTAATTTCAAGGGCGGAGGGTTTAATTTATTTATTTTCTAGATTCAATTAAAATTAAAATTAAAATCCAGACATGCCAAACTGGGCGCCAAAAAACAATAGAATTTTTATTCTATTTTATCTAACGGATACATTTGATAATTTAAAATTTCAAAACACTTTCATTTCCAGTTTTTTTTACCCCAAAAAAGTATGGTCTGGAATCGAAGAGTTATGAAAAGCGTATGTGAACAATCCTCAAACAATTCAAGAGTTGAAAGATGTGATTTGGCGCATTATTCGTGAGATACCACTGGAAATGTGCACAGATGTGATCGAAAATTTTGGCAAAACTGTTGTGTGCTGTGAGAGAAGTCGCGATGGCTATTTGTTGGATATTGTGTTTCACGTTTTCATGTTTCCTAGTTGGCTTTTTGTTGGAATTGAAAAAAACATCCGGAAAGTCTAATTGGAACACCCTATTAATGCGTTCAAATTTTTACACTTGCAATAAGCAAGCTTTTTTTGAATTTTTTTGCAATAAGTAGGTACCTAACAGATAAAATGTTAATATCGGCTGATCAGTACACGAGGCATTATAGGTGGTCTAAAAAAAAACTTGGCCCTGATTTAACTGACCTCGTATCTTTAATAATAACCAAGATACCTCTGGTTAGAAAATTAGACACACTGTATATTTTTGTACGACCCTGTATAATATGTTCTAAGTATGTTTTCACATGCGCCATAATTGTAGTGTTTGTTTCGAAAAGAAATAATGACGTCAAAAGCTATATTTTCTGTAAAATCACAAGACATCCAATCCAATGAAATTCACTCTTGTCTTGCCCGACTCTTGCAGAAAAAAATCTTGTCTTGCAAACAAGATTTCTTGCAATTTCTTGATTCTTTGATGATTGAAAACGAAAAGACCTTCACATTGAGAACAAAATCAATATTGTGTGTGTAGTGTCGTTGTCCATCACGACCAAAAATTTTCCTAGCCATACTTGCTGCAAGAACTGTTAGAAACTGACATCTGTTTGAGTGTTTTGAAACTACAATTTCAAAACGTTTTGTCGCAAAAAAATGCCAACTTTACAAACTGACATGCTGATATTTTCAACTCGTTGTTAAGTGCCGCAACGTTGCCAAAATTAATTCAACAAAAAGCAGAGAAGGAGACTTTATTTTTTTTGCAAGATTTCTTGCAAGATTGCAAGAGTCTTGCAGAATAATTTCTTGTCTTGCTTGGCAACTTCTTGTCTTGTCTTGCTTTGCAAGACAAGAAATTAGAGAGTCTTGTCTTGTTCTTGCAGCAAGAACAAGACAAGAACAAGAAATTTGCAAGAATCTTGTGAAACACTAATGAAATCATAGTGGGCTGCGATATTCAAAAAATCTCAAAAACGTACCGAGGTATAGTATTTTTAATTTAAATTGAAACACTGAAAAAACATCTAAGCCGTTTTCTCGCGTCCACTTTTTTGACATTGGTTCAAAACCAGTATGAAACAGTCAATAGAAACACCATTGCCCGTTTCAAACCTGTTTTGAACCAATGTCAAAAAAGTGAACGCGAGAAAACGGCTTAGATGTTTTTATTAGTGTTTCAATCCAAATTAAAAATACTATACTAAAGTACTCTTCTAAACTGTATGCCAAAAATTTACTTAACCTTGCCTCCAGCAGAATGGGGTGAACCAAACTTTTGTATCTGTATCTTTCAGCAGGTGGACGGAAATCTTTTAGCAAATGGAAATTAATTAGCAACTAGAGCAGCCTTTCACTCCTGAAAATTTAAACAAAATCGGCCTGCTAGATTTTGAGTTATGGTCTTGTGTGACCAAAAATTGGGGTGTTCAAGTTCGATTGATGCGTAGAAATTCACCTGACCGTCATTCTACCGCTTGCACATTCAAAAACGCGATGGTATTCTGCATACACATCAGTGGCGGTTCGCCCATATGGGCAAGGTGGGCACCGCCACCCTGGAGAAAGAATGAAAAAATAAAAAAAGCTTATAATATAATATTTTGAAAGGCCGCGACATTAAAAATCTCAAAAAAAAAATCGCCTACAGCTGTTTTTTATTTTTGTCGCCCACCCTTAATTGGACACCACGAGCCGCCACTGATACACATTGATGTTTTTGTTCGCGCGTTCATGTATGTGCGTACATGTTCTCAGACATCCACGTCCGTGTGTAACCGCCTTTACACACAATTCCCGGTACCGTTCTTCACGCCCGTCATTCTGATACAACGTGAATCTGCATTCATCCATAAACAAACATCCCTACCGTTCAGCTATTCCCCAGTGTCTATTGTCCATGAATATAAGCCCAGTTTATTCGTGCTCTTCGATGGACTGCTTTTAATAATGGACATGCTGTCTGGCTATTAAATTTCTCTCATGAAAACGACTTTGGATTGTTGATTTTGAGGTTTCAATTCCTAACGCGATCCTATTCGTGAAGAATTGAGAGCTCTGTATTGTCGCACTGGTAAAAGAATTCTGTTGTCATCCCGGGCCGAAGTAATTATTCTTGGTTTACCACCTGCAATGTCTATAAGCAGCGGTGCCAGTGTTAAACCTCATTTTATTGGCAATAAATTTGCGCGACTTTGCCCTAATTTAACCGACCTTCCCGTATCTTTAATAATAACCAAGATACCTCTGATTAGAAAAATAAACAAACTGTATATTTTTGACCCTGTATAATATGTTTTAAAGTGTGTTTCCACATGCGCCATAATTGTAGTTTTTGTCTTGAAAGAAATAATGACGTCAATAGCTATATTTTACATAAAATCGCATAACTCAAGATAAAATCGTAGTGGGCTGCGATATTCAAAAAATCTCAAAAACGTCCGAGGTACTAAGGTACTCCTCTAAACTGCATACCAAACATCTACTCAACCCTCCCTCCAGCAAAATGGGGTGAGCCCAAACTTTCGCACAAAAATCGCTTATGTTTCACCCTGTATCTTTTAGCAGGTGGCCGGAAATCTGTTAAGAACTGGAAATTAAATAGCAATTAGAGCATCCTTTCACTCCTGAAAATTTGAACAAAATCGGCCAGGTAGATTTTGAGTTATAGCCTTTCAAAAAGTGACCAAAGATTGGGATGTTCGAGTTCGATTAGTTTAGTTTTGGAAAACTATTTTTGTGTTTAGTTAATTTGAAAAAAACATATTATACAGGGTGTCCGGAAAATAGCGTAAAAGCTCTCCACTACGTAGTAGGGAATCCTTTGAGTAACCCAGGAAAAATAATTTAAAAAATCCTTCTCGACCATTCTTGGAAATATGAAGAGGTAAATGTGGAAATTCAACTTCCTTATTAACACGTTTTTATTAGCCTCACCCGTATATATGTTTGTTTGTTTGTATGTTTGGAAGTAACTCTCCTTTGGACTAAAAGCAAGTGGCTTATTACTGTTAATATATCCCTCTACCTTAAGTTCGTTCGTTGGCCGAGCGGTCTGAGGCGCGGGTCTGAGGCGCGGGTCTGACGTCAACTCTCAGACTCACCGATCGTGGGTTCTAATCCCGTCCACGGCCGAAAAAATTTTTTTTTTTTAATAATTAATCGAACTAAAAAGTAAAAAATAAATATAGTTTAAAAAAACTAAAAAACACGCTTTTATAATACATCGAACTAAAAAGTGAAAAATAGTATTAAAAAACACGCTTTTATAGTAAATTGAACTAAAAAGTGAAAAATAATTTTTAATATAAACAGAAAATATTAATGAACAAAAAATATTAGAATTATTGTGAAAAAAGCGTGGGGTGTTTTGTTACCCATTTCTCGTACATTGAGCACCCCACACGCAAAAGCGTGTTTTTTACTTTTTTTAAACTATATATATATATATATATATATATATATATATAAGAAGATTGGACGTCGTTGCTGACAAGTTCGAAGACAATTTGGGAATCGGTTTGGGGAATGCAGCAAAAATAAAGTATACTCTTTAAAGTTTATCCGAGCTTTCGATAATGTTTATTATCATCATCAGGGAGACTGTGGATCAATATATAAGTTAAAGACAATAAACCAATATTTGAATGTAACTTACATCTTTGTTGAGATTAAAGATAAATGTTGTGTTATTGATCTGTTTCATCAGCATCAAGGACAGTGAGAACTTAATTTTCAGTCACTAATACATAATACACGTTAAAAAATGTTGAGGGAAAAGATGGATTGTGTAAATGGGGACAATACAACATATTAAAATATTAAAACAGTTACAGAGAGAGACTTTTACAATATATCTTATGAGTCTGAGGATCATCCATCAAATATGTAATTTGGAATTTTCTTTAATTATTTTTGAAAATGTCAACCGGAAACAGCTGACTGTCAACACCACCTGTTGAATTATGATTTAAGACACATGTCATTATAAAGTTAGGTTAGGTATACGACGCTATGTTCCATTATTAGCAGATACACATTTGATGTGACGTCACTAGCAGACCTACTCAACAACACTAGTCTGGTAGACGCCATGATGTGAACAGGCCTCAACCCCAGCTTTCTGCACTGCAAAAGGAAACTTCTCCTATTGCACTCTCTAGCCAACTTTCTCTTTGTACCTGACCAAGTCTCAAGTTGCTCAACTGCCTCCCTGCCAGAGAAAGTCTTGATGGTCTGGTAGAACCCCATATCTGAT